TCTCTAATTTCAACCAAAATCTAAATTTTGCGCTGAACTAAACATAGACCAGGGTTTGGTTTCTTTGGTTGCCTTTCTTGGTTGCATGTTTCCGGCAGAAAGCAGCTGGCTCATTGACTTGTGATAAATCTTTGCACGAATTCAGTACTCCTCGAGAAAATAATGGGGGATCTCTGACATGTATGTCTAATGTCTTGGACTCTAGGCAAAAGGCAATGGGTTGTGTTAAGTACTGCTTTTGATACTGCTCCTTAATTCCATTTTCAAATATAAGGATTTCTTGTATTTAAGTTTTAGACTATAATATAAAAGTATTTTTTTCTTGATTTTCCACGATTTCTATCATTTCAATAATTTTAAAGCCAATCAAATTTCGAATCGAAATGAAATCTACACCATCCAAAATTCAAAATTTGACAATCAATTTTTTTAAAAAAAATCTTTTGATGTAACATTAACATTTACTAAATAACCTAAAAATCCTTATATTATTTAAACTGAAGGAGTAGAATGTTTTTATAATGCTACTCCATCCGTTCCAAAAAAAAACCATTCCTAGCATCCCAAGAAGAGACTAGTGAAGAATAAAAATAACCAAAATACCCCTCATTATTAGAAAAGTAGTAGTGTTAATAGATAGGTAAAGGGTATTTAAGGGAGAAAACTTATCGTTTTATGTACCGAGGTTAGATATGATTGTTGAAGTTGATTTTTTGTAGGAGAAAATTCAAACTCCAGAAGTAGAGTTTTTTTTCTTAGAACGGAGGGAGTAAAGTAGTAGATGAGATGAGTGCGAAAAGAGAGTTGAAATTTTTGCACACTAGAGGCAGCTTCTTTGTTACTGTACTGACAAAGGTACGAGTGTATCGTTATGTCTGTCAGGGCTTAAATCTTGATAGCGAGCTAGGAGATGATGTGTTCCTTTGAAAATGTCTTTTTATATTCAGTTTGATATGGTACTATAAGTTTTTCTTGCTTAATGTCTATGAGTTTTGGCATCTCTATTACGTGAGAAATAAAAAGATGAGGATGGGCAATTTACGGTGACTTTCTTTTTATCTTGGCTTTTGATTTGCCCCTCATAATTAAGTGGATGGCATTTTTCTTGTTTTCCACATAAGTGTGTGTGATAATATGACATGTTGTCCATGAGTCTAGTTGTCATTAATTATCTGGATACGGTAAATAAGCAATTTTACCGTAAAGGAACTAGGTCTACACACTTGACACAAAACGTGGGGGTAAATATACGATGGGAACCATAGCTAGGTGGATAATATGAAAACCACGATATAGAAGTTCTCAAATAATTTGAAATAAATTCTTGCATATATCCCCCTACATGTGTGAAATTTTTTTATATTTTTTTCCAAAAACTTCTACTCCCTCCATTTTAAATATGTAACGTTGTTGACTTTTAGACATAGCATTTAACCATTTATTTTATTCGGACCATTATATAAGTATCATTTATTTTGTCGTGGACTATTTTAGCATTAAAGAACCTTTAAGCATGGTTTATATTTTTTTATATATTCATACTAAAATTTTAAATGTAACGAATGTTCAAGTATTATATTCAAAAGTCAACTGCATCATATATTTAATAACAGAGGGATTTTAAATATAATGAATGTTTAAATGTTATATTTAAAAGTCAACAACATCATATATTTAAAAACGTAAGGAGTATAAAAAAGTTCACAAGTTTTCATAAAAAATGTGATGTCTATGATACATTTCCCCTAACAATTGGATGGTCTCTGTGACTTCAAACCCTGAAACAGAGTAAGCAGAAGCGTCGAACAGGCCACAGCTAAAGAACAGAAACAGAAACCAACATTTTCTTCTGCACAGCACTGCTCGCTACATCATCCATCACCTGCTTCGTCTTATAATCAGTCTCCCATCTCCATGCGACCAACCAACCAAACCTCATCAGATCAGGGAATTAACAAGAAGAACAAGAAGAAGATGAGAAGAAGAAAAATTCAGAAAAATGGGCAGGCAGCAGCATTGATCACGCCACTGTCCGGCAGCTTTCGCCTCTGCATGATAAATTGGTGCAGAGTTTGGCGCCTCACAGCGATGTCTAACCTTCAGAATGTCGAGCAGGATAACGACGCGTCTCTCCATCGCCATGCATTTCCAGCTCCATCCATGGCTAAAATTAAAATTAAAAGAAAAAAAAAAGAACCCTTCCCAAATCAACCGTACAGATCAGGTACAGCTTCATCAAGCCTTTCATGATTCGTTGGAGTGTAAAGTCTTCACTCAGCGATAGTAATTAACCTGTGATAAGATTCCTAGTGCCTCCATCTTGCCTAGCTAGTTACTCCTACTTACATTTTGTGTGGCAGTAGTAGTTTGATGCTGATGGATGGTGAATTGCTGTGGAGTGAAGTGAGGCCGAGTTTAGATCCAAACTTTTTCTTCAAACTTCTAACTTTTTTATTACATTAAAACTTTTATACACACATAAACTTCCAACTTTTCTATCACATCGTTCCAATTTCAACCAAACTTTCAATTTTAACGTGAACTAAACACACCCTGAATTTTGCTAGTAGCTCCAAGCTACGGCTTTCAGAGTTTCAGTGAGAACAATCTTTGACGGCATGTTCGGCTAGTGTCCATTAATAGTTATATTAATTAACTACTACTCCATCGGTTCCAAGATATAAGATGAGGATATTAGGATATGTCACATTCATCTAAAATCATTTATATTTTGGGACGGAGGATATTACTTAATACGAGGAATTATATTCACCGAATTGTTGCTACGGACTATTTATTACTACCTCCGTTCCAAAATACTTATAGTTTTGAATTTTTGTTTGTAACATTTTACCATTCGTCTTATTCAAAAGATTATGAAATTATTTTTTATTTTGTATGTAACTTGCTTTGTTATCAAAAGTACTTTCAGTATAACTTATCATTTTTTATATTTACACTAATTTTTTAAATAAGATGAATGGTCAAACATTGCAAGTAAAAAAAAGTCAAAACAACATCTAATTTTGGACGGAGGGAGTATCCCAATTTTTTTTAATAACCGTCAATGTTTCAACTCTTATCATTAATTACCCATAAATGATTAGACTACGATGAATGAGATCATGTTTATATTCAAGACAACATACAGTTTGATTATATGGTGTTTTTTTAGTATCTGTAATGTTTTTTAGAACAATAAATTAAAGATGAATAGTGCCTCCCTCGCAAAAAAAAAGATGAATAGTGCCCAATATTAGTTATTTGAAAATGGAGGATTTAAGAAATAAACCTACAAATAACTTAACTTAGGATAGGTGACCTAAACAATACAATAAGAAAATTTTCCTAAAAAATCGTATTTTCACTAGTGTCGAGCGAATAATCCATGTCAATAATCTGATGAGTAAGTTGAAAAAAACTAGTAGGATCAAACATACATGGACGGTTAGGTGGCGCTCTCCACTATATGAGACTAAGAAACAGGGCAAAGTGACTGTTATTTTCCCAGGTTCGAATACTCCCTTATATATTAAATACGGCGTTTGGCGAAAATAATTCTTATTTCTTTACACCACCGTTGTTATTAAGGTACAAGATGGATACGAGGGTGACGCGAAACCTAATCCCAGAGGATTAGTAGGGGAAATACATAAGCTTAATTGCTTTTTTTTTAAGGTATCTCGAGGAGATTGGGCACATGAGGTTGGACAAAGACAACAAAAAAAAACCGACCCTTGATGCTGACACGAGCGTGGAACACCATTTGCAGAGGAGCTTAGCCTCTATGCTTGCCGGTGCAAGGAAGCCGTACATATTGATCCGGACACGACTATAACTTAAAAGAATTTCAATTTTTGCGAGTAGTAATCATCACGTTTATTCTTGAAGAAATATATATTGCTCGTCGTGACATGTTCAGATCATGATTGTACTCTCAACGAGTGTGACAATCAGAATTCCTTTTTTTTTAAAAAAAAAGACTAGTAAATATGTCCGTGCCCATAGAGAATGGGTTGGTTGTGAATTTGTAATCTATTTTAAAAGCACATGATCGTTTTAAGAAACATTTTCCCTTTCTTGTTTTTCTCAGGTATTTTTTTCTCAAATTAACCAGGTTTTCTTTTTTTTTTCTCTGGTAACTTTTTTCTTGCGGCGATGTGCTATGTACAGGAAGGTAGGAGGACGATTTTGCTTTTGTTATGACTAGTAATTGTATAGAGATATGACTATACATACCTTATTTCAGGGTTATAATCTTATAATTTTTTTCTACCCTATCAATATAAACGTCGCACTGTCTAGTACGAATCGTTAAAAAAAAATCTTGCATCATCTTAAAGTTGATTTTTGAGAGTTTTTTTTCTTCATCGTGATTTATTTTTAGCATTACCTTTGAAATGAGCTCCCTGACCACAAAAACCTGTCTAAAATCCCGTTCCTCCTGCATCCATTGGCAGCTAATCGTAAATAATGCCATTGCATAATGAGATCCAGCCAGGTATCGCCGAATAGCGACGCATAACCTACCGCCGAGAAAGTCATTTGACTACGTAGACACTAGACAGTCGAAATCATTTTGTACGGAAAAAAAAAATCTAAGGGCCTGTTCACTTTGATGCCATTTTTGTCAAAAAAAAATGGCTACATTTAGTTTGTTACCAAATTTTGGTAACTATATAAGAAATCCTGCCAAATTTTGGTAAGGTTTTTTTGGCAGCAAAGTGAACAGGCCCTAATACTTTTTTTTTTTGTTATTGAGATGGAACCCTAATTGCCTTTCTTGTGGTTAATCTACATATTTTTTGCATGCATAACTAATCTCTTAATGAGCAAATTCGACCTAAAGCAATGTGACTGACTGTATGGGCCCCACGCTGATCTGCATCTGTAGTTCAGTTAAGCAACGGAATATAATATCAGATCTAGAAAAATAATGTCAAACTGTAGCTAAGTTCGAATGGAAAAATGATGGGGACAGGCAATGAAATGCAGGACCATCAGTGATAAGGTGAGGATAACTATCATCATAGACAAAATGCAACAGTGGTAATACATGGTTCCATCCATCCAGCTAGCTGCTAATTGGCCAGCTCATACATAATCAGAAAGAAGAAGAAGAGGGTGCTTTGTAATATCTGCACCATATCTTTATACACAAATTAACTATTTTAATTTGTTACGGTTATATCAAAATATAATCATCTCAAATAGTAGGTACCAAAAGAATCACATCGCCCTACAGGCAGACTATGATTAAGAAATATCCTCTCTTAAGAGCCTAATGATGACTGTTAGCTTCAAGAGTTCAGAGAGCTTCACTAGCTTTGCCAATGGGAGTTTTGCACTTGGGTCTCTTCCCTATGTACAGATTGTCATTCTTTTCCTTGATCAGTGTGGCCTAAGCAGGTTAGAACTCCATTTTCATGTGGCCTGCTTGCTGCTGACCTGTGGCGATTCAATGATTCGCGAGTCGTCAGTGAAATGTTATTAGCCAAGGTATGCAAAATTGAGCAGAGAATTATCAGTTAGTTTTACCAACCATGGAAGTTTGGTGCTGAAACCCCATTCTCCTGGCTCTGTCCATTCTCAATATGGAAAACACTTTGGAGATCATCCTCCCAGAAGTTCCTTTGCTGAGAGAAGTACACCAGCTATATTGTTAGGATGCTATTTCTAATGATTCTTGGTTAAGTTACTTGGATGATAAGTAGTTTAGGCGCGAATAATCACCTGCAAGTTTGCGCCGGCTGTTCCATCTTGAAAAGCATACTGTGCAGCATTTGTAGCCTGAGATAGAGCCAGGTCCAACTGATTCAGGGTGCACTGGCTTTCCATGCTGTTTTGAGCAAACTGTTGGAAAACATCTCCTTGTTCGGCAAACCGAAAAGCAGAATTGGAGCTTTCTAATGAGAAAACCGAGCTCGCTGAAGGGCCGCATGCTTGGAACATCTGAATTGTATCATGGAAAATGTGAGTAATTAACAAGTCATTGAGCGCATCACGAAGGTATGACAAGCAGGAGATGATTCAAGCTCACATCTTTCTGCAGCAGAGTAGGCAGGTTACTGAAATCAAGTGGATTCACAGTTGCTAGCTTCATGGACAGGAACTGAAGCGAAAAAAGTAAATACAGCAAAATTGGTCAGAATTTCGAGTTCCGCATTCCATGGCATGTAACAATTTCAGCACGCATGTTTATGACTATTACCTCAACTTGCCGTTGAAGCGATTGCACGTAGTTTATGATCTCATCAAGCATGAGTGCCTTGCCAATTACCTGCAATTCAAGACAACATTTAGGCGCGTCAAAACTACAAAACTTCTACAAACTTTGCTGGCAAACACTTGCTCCTTTTCTTCTACAGATTCTCATCCTGAAATCACTAGTTAGTCGATATACCTTGTTGCATCCTGGAACCAGGTCCTGGAGAACCTTCATCCTCTGGCTGATCCTCTCTCTTCTGACCTAACCAAATGTAACAAACACACAATTCAGCACAAACCGCGGAAGAATTCGATCGAACCGGGTCGAAAATCGAGCGAATTCGACAGCATCATGAACAGAATTGTACCCTCTCAGCGAGGCTGTGGCTGTCAGTGGCTTGGCCTCGCCTCGCCCGGACATGGACATAGTCCTTGGGTGGCTCCACCGGCTTGGCATTCTTCCCCTTCCCTTGCTTCTGCCCGCCACCGCCGCCGTCCTCGACGGAGCTGTCGCTCCCGGCCTGCTCCGCCTTCGGCTTCACCGAGCTCTCCTTCTCGCCATTGCCCGTCTTGCACCTCTTGCCATCTGATTCCTTCTCTTCCCCAACCTGAACCCGGAGAATTCGCGAATCCATTCAGTGTCAGTGACATGAGCAAGAGGTAAGTAAAGCTAGTGACACCACAAGCAGAATTCACAGAGACGTGGAGCTCGCTCACCGGAGGCTCCTTGCCTTTGCCCTTGGCGGCGGCGGCCGCCGCCGCCGTGGACTTCCTCTTCTTGGCATTGGCGGCGGCGTCCTTCATCGCCGAGGAGGCGGGGTCGGACACGGAGGACGCCTCCCTGGAGCCACCTCCGGCGAAGTCGCCGGGAGCCGGAGGAGGCATCCCGAAGAGCCCCGCCCCCGCGCCGCCGTACCGCTGCCCAACACCGCCGCCGCCGTTGTTGAAGCTGGACAGCCGCGCGGCGCGCTCCGCGAACCCCGGGTCGCCGCAGAGCTTGTCGAGGCCGCAGTCGCCGCCGCCGCCGCCGCCTCCCGGCGCCACGATGGCGTCCAGCACCGGCACGCCGAAGTCGAGCCGGGGGGAGGAGCTGAGGAGGCTGGAAATGTAGTCGCCCCCGACCCTGCCGCCGTCCATCGCCGCCGCCGTCCAAGAAACGGCACGGTGCCCCTTCTCTTGGCTCCTGTAGGGGGGAGAGCTTGGGGTGGTCGGCAATGGCGGAGGAGGAGGTCAAAGAGGCGGAGGCGGTGAAGGTGGAGGTTCAGCCTTTTTGGGTTAGAGGGGAGAAGAAGCTGTTTTTCCAGACTGCGGACACTGCCCCCGGTGCCTTTTAAGGTCGGGGGTGGGTCTCTTCCGCTTCCGCTGCCACTTCCACTTCCACTTCTACCCACCGTAAGAACAGGTACAATAGCGGCTATAAGCCAACTATAAACATATTTTAAAGAAATAAAGAAAAAGAGAGAAGAGCAGCGGGCTACAGATTTGTAGCCAGCTGCAGCATGGACTCTAAGACGTAACGTGTGTATGATAGGTGGGACCAGATATTAATAATATAGTAAGCAACTATTGTATGAATTGGCTATTACAATGACTCTAGATGATTTGGAGCTAGTAGTTAGCTATACTATTAAACTTGCTCTAACGGGTGGTGGTAAATTCCGGCGCACGGTGACCGAGCTCTAACGTCTGGTGGAGATGGAGGGATCAGGCTCCTCTACCGTCAAAGGTAGGTGCCTTTATCACCGATATGTCGCATGTAAGTGACAAAGGCACGATGCCTTTGAAGGCAAAGGATTTCAATCCGAGATGGAGGGGATTAGGATGGGAGGCAAAAAGATCGTCTAACTTACTGCTCTCTGATTTTGAGTAGATGACATATAGATGCTATAACTTGTGGGCCTATATGTTAGTGATCCATGTTAGAGGGCAGTATGTTAGATGAGTTTCTTCTAGAGTGAGCGTAGAGAAAGAAATATTTTGGCATCTGACACTGAGTGGTTGATATGTGGTCTTCACGACTAGTTGGTGTACATGTCACTGTCCTACGTTAATCAGATGGATCTCTTTGTGGGAGTAGGGGGACGAAAACGGTTAGAAGTGATATTAATTTTTAAGAAATGATTCTTGATTGGTCGTTATTTTTATTATATTTATTAAATTAATTGTTTCAGAGATTGTACTATAATGTTGAAAGAAATTTATATGTGGCCAGGATTGAAAAATACCGTTTTATGCACAAATGATCCTTGGTCAGTTGAGAGTTTCTGATACCGTTTTCATCCCTAGATGGAAGAGTACGTTGGTAATAAATCTTCTATCTGTAGGAGAAAAACAGAGCCATCGCATTCGTTGTGAAGATACATTGTTCTATCACAATATAGATTGATCATGTACAATGCAATGATGTAGCGTTTATAAGACAATGTGCAGTTTTGCACACCTTTCCCTATATTTTAGCCCTCACTCTCCTAGCTTCCTCTTTAATGCTCTTATGGTTAGCGAGATCGAGACGAGGAAATGTTAGCTAGCAGTGAGCTCAAATAGAAGAGAAGGTGCAACCGACCGTAAGCTCGAGTAGAGGAAGGGCTAGGTCACCGATGAGCTTGAGCAACGGGGGTTGGCCATTGTCAAGGGTTAGCTTGAGCAATGAAAGAAGAGATTGTGGCCAGCAGTGTATTCAAATGACAATTGACTTCGGATGCAACGAAGAAAGAAGAGAAGAGAGTGGGAGAAGATAATAAGAAAGAAATATAGAATAAGAGAGAGAAAAAGTATGGCCTTTCGTCTAACGAACTAGATAGCACAACATCGTTCCTAAACTACTTGATGGCAAAAGAGCAAATACACACAAACTTAAGTTTTGTTTGGAACAAGGTATCTTTTAAGTAATTTCGGAGGTTTGCATTCCTTTGGAATTATCTTTTTTTTAATATAGGTTTGTTTGGGGCAAAGGAAATGTTGTTGAATTCCTTTGAAAATGTAGCAATTCTGCATTTTTTTTTGGGAAAGAAAACATCCAATGTGAGCCAAAGGAACTTTTCCTTTGCGTCATTCATGGCTCTGCATCTATCTCTTTCCTAGATTTTTTTTCACTCATCCAAACAACTCAAATTTCACCATTCGCTTGGATTGAATTCCTTAGTTTCCACTTTACACCATATCCTAATTCCGTGTTTTTCATTTCTTTGTTCCAAGTAGAACTTTCGTGTTATATTATCAATTTTCCTTAGAAAACCACATCATGCCTTCAAGGTTATTTCAAATCTCTTTAAGAAAAAAGTAAATTGGACTAACATACACATACCTCAAAGTACTTCAAGATGTGATTTGTGTATTACATAAAATAAGAAATAGAATTTTTTTTAGATAATAAAATAAGAAATAGAATGGAAATGAAGAAGAATGGTGTTGTAAAACACCGGCAGTCTTATCCCTCAAGCACACTGCAGACATCCAAGTTAATTGTATTATGCACAAGCTACATGCCCCTACAAGTACTTTCATAAAGGATGAGCCAAATCTATGCTTTTCCTTCCGTTTTGTATTTATTAGTTATTGCAGATCTGAAGTGAAATGCAAAATGCAGGGTCTATTTGTATATGAGAAAATTAGGTATTGTATGCCAAATTTGTACATGCACGATAATAGGCACTAGGCAATAGTCATTTATGCATCCTTATAGGCACTAAAATACTAGACCACAGAATATAGCATCAGCTTAATTGTCTACCATTACTTCTGAACAACAGAAAATTGATGGTTTTTGGCAAACCTATTGCCTAATTGTTTAGCCAAAAGTAGCATTTAGAAAAGGACCATCGATTTCTTTAGAATTCAATGGCTCACATCCGTTTCAGGTTTATCCTCGTGGATAATTAGATCTGCCTAACATTTCACCATCTTCTTATCAGTTCCTTGTTTTCATTAAAGAGATCTGCATTTTCGTGCATGCATTATGTTGAGATTCAGAGAGCTGCCAATATTACTCCTATTATCAGGAATAGAAAGCCCATGTAGGCTTTTCTTTTAAAGAAACTACATCTAGGCGCACACGCATGACGCATCCATACTCAAATATTATCGGAGGCATCAGATACCACCCCGCAAAGCACAGTCATGCAACACACTAAAGTCTACATCGATACAATTGGTGAACGCCAACATTAACCGCTGAAGCGGCATATTTGCAAACGAAAAATAATTTATGAATAAAGCTTGTATATAGGTGTTCTTAGCGATCTAAAAGTAAAGGCTAGAAAATAAACTTCGATGAAAAGACCCCAAAATCAACTTCAAATTTAAAGTTAAAAATTTAAATTTTGGCTGATAAGCATAAGTATAAGCGAAAAGATGAAGCCATAAATCTAGAATCTGAATTGTAATGAGTTTGTAACACAATTGTACTACTTAGCTAGCAGACCACGGGTTAACCCCATGAAGATTCAATCTCACGGCTCCCATGACTCCATAAGCTAAGAAAATAGTACAACAAATGAGATAGATTATGTTTTCAAAAAAAAAATGAGACAGACTATTGATTAGATTAATATCGTGGATTATCTACTTCATCGTACAAATATATTAAATATTTTGAGAAATAAACTTAACAAATAATTTAGAATAAATAGTCTCAGCAATATATGAGAGATTTTGTTTTTAAGAAAACATATTTTAGAAGAGTTGGTCAAATAATTCACGATAATAATTCGGTGAAGTCATTATCTTTTTAAAAAAAAAAATCGGTGAAGTAGCTGGTATGAACATGGTCCTCTCACACAATTACTTGAAACTGTTATTATAAAGAGAAAACAGAGCTTGATCGATATTACAATTACCTTTGTTCCAGCAGAAATGCAGCGTTTTGGCTTCAGCGAACCTCAGCCTAGTTTATAATGTTCTGAAAAGAATAAGTTAGAAGGAAAATCAAATTGTCCAAGTTGCAATGATAAGGGATCACATTTTACCACGACATTGTTCTCTACGGGCACAATCATTTTACTTCAGATATGTTCTTGTTCCCCCAAATCATTTCACACCTGCAAGATCATGACTAAACTATTTTCAAGTGGCTTTGAGCATCTAATTTCCTCTCTAGAAAACAAATGTGAACTGCGCGTTCAAACCAAGTTTAGCTGTATTAGTTTCCTACGCCGAAACTGCAATGAGTTTCTTGCCAATAATTTCAAAACTCACAAGTTGCCTTCATTTGAATATTTGTCCCTCAAGGCACCATCTATACATTCTTTTGTCAACGGAATGCAGAGCCAGAGTCGAATAAACAAACGAACTGACTATAGAATAAACAGATCTTTGGCCCAATCAAAACTGTTCCCAATCAGAGCTCACATTATTCTAGTTAATCACTGCATCTTTATTCTAATCTGCATCGGGATCGCTGCAGCAGTCACATGCATCAGGACGTTAAACAAGTCGTCGACTGTACTGACAAATACTAATTTGCAAACTGAAGTAGAGTAGTATATTTTGCTTGTGGTCACAATCTCGAATTCACGAACTGTATATATACGACTGCACGATTAACAATTGGGGAAAGGAAATGTCAGTCTTGAGCAATGTAAATTCTTCTCTTCTGAAGAATAATGAGGTGCAAAACTATTGCGTATTCCAGAAGAAATGTCTTTCTGAAGCAAGGGCAGACAATGGTAATTCATTTTGTAACTGTCTCTGCATTTCGATTGTAATCTTGGTTTATAAATCAGTAAAGCATGAATAGATCCTGATTTCAAATGAAAATGAAACTAGAGATTGGCAAATTTTTGTGCTGATCAAAAACTAAAAAAGAACTGGATTTTGTCGATTTCGAAAACGTGTTACTGATGAATATCTGAACAACACTATAGTCTACAGATGATCTGAAGTATTCTGAACCGTGTTCTACAATATATTGCCAAGAATCTACCATCTTAGCTTGCAAACTCGCATTGCCAGCTACTGCTACCACTGTCCAAATTGAAGACTCCATTTTTTTTCTCAGGGAAAAATTAAGGCTATGTTCGCAGCAACTACCCGTCGAAAAACTGGACAAGCAAGTAGGTGAAAGTGAATTTGACACGGTTCTTGATTATAAATTGCTCAAGGGACAATTACAACCAACTGTACGATGGAACATATCTTCTAGGAATATACAGTAATAAATAGTAGTAGATTAGGGCATCTTATGAGCTAATATAGTACAAGCCTATGTACTTGTTTAATCAAGGAGCCATAGAAAAACTTGGCCTCTAGTTATTTACTCCTCCTGCTCAATCATTTGAGGCAAAATGGAATCCATGGGCGTCCAAGAACTGCCTGTTCCT